AATTACCGATGAAATTCGATTTTGTTTGTTTTGTAATCAGATACTTTGCTATTTTTCAACACACCACCGAATGGAACAGTACGCCATTGTTAGAGATTTTATCTTTATTACAATAAATACAGAATATTTTTGGAATATACGGAGACGTACGCACAGGTCAGTTGTTGGCGCTGTCTTTATTTCAGTGCAAACAAGAGTTGATATTTATAAGTGATGTATCACTGATGAGTTACCAGGAATGTATAGCCCTTTTCGTCTCTATTTCTGGTTATATACTCGATGCTGAAAAGTTACATTTTTGCTGCAAAAGTTACGTTTTAGATGTTCGTTTTTTTAAAATTCTAACAGCAAAAGTGTTAAACCGTAAAAATAAAAAGTAACTTGCCTATGCTCAAGAAAAATAATGTTTCAGAACCACTAATTGATTGACTTCATTTTGTTTGCGACATCTCTGTGTTATTTTATTATTTAACTTGGGTGCGTTTGTAAATACACCTAGTTGAATTTTAAAAATTTCACGTCTTCAAAAGATACGAAAATTGCATTAAAAGCAAAAGTTACTACGCGAGAGAGCCAAAAAGAAATGGAAACACTGACATGAAGTGTATTTGTTACATGTAGGTAGGTATCTATGTTTATATTAAAAGCAATATTAAAAAAATCTGTTCATATAATGTAAATACCTACATCTATAACAAAACAAACTTGAAATAGAGCATTTTTATGTGTTTTTAAATAATTAAAACATAAATTATAAAAAGCCGATTTCAAAATATTATGGAATCTTTTCTACAGGTATTTGCCAAGTTTAATAAAATCGGTTAACAGAAAATTCACCCACTTTCTGTTAACCGACAAAACACTTTTATTCTTTCTTATTGCAATCCAATAAACTGTATTAAATCCCTAATTTGTCACCCAAGAGGTGGGAATATTTTCTTCAAATTTCAATGGCATCACTATTGAGGTAAGTACAAAAAAATAATCGAATTCGCTACCAATCTAATTCTTTAATCGCATCATACACACAAAAATATACAGTCGAATATAAAACCTCCTCCTTTTTTGAAGTCGGTAAAAGAATTATGGACAGTAAAACGGCATTTTCATGTATCATTAATACTGGTTGAATAAATTTGCATAACTTTGTAATGCAATAACGAAACGTTGTATGACATCATCGTCACAGCTGTTTTTATTTGTTTTTGTATTAATATCTATTTTAAAGTTAAATCTAAGAATAATTTCGCTTTACTTATACAAATTAAGGTAATTGGAAGACTTATTTCATTATTATCAGGTAAAATATGGCATGGAAAATCAATAAATAGCCCAATTACCTTTAACATTTACGTATACATTTTTAAGTTTTGTTTAATCAATTTTCTGGCTTAGTAAAAACATTGAAAACCGACAAGAAGAAATTTTTCGAAATTTATATAAAAATCGAAAACATAAACCGTAAACTCTTTTTCCGAAGGCTAAGCCAATACAGCATAAAAACTTACCGGCTGTTCGCAATTGATAGTGTGCCATCTTTTTTTATACAAATACACTTAGAATAATAACGCATAGAATGATAGTTTCATATCAAACGAACTGTCACAAGTGAGGCAAAAACCAAATTCATGTAGGCGTAAGCAACTTGTAACTACGCTCGTCGGCACGCACACAAATATACAAATAATGATGCCATGGAATAACATTTCCCTCAAAAGTGGGGAAATTGTATCTTGCTTAACTCATCATTAAGTTAAAGGTGCCTACAGATTTGCCCGACATTGTCGATCAGGTGCCTACAGATGTGCTCGGTTTTGTCGATGAAAAACGAATATAGCACTTATTTGTAAATCCAAGATGGCGGACACGATTTTTCAAAATATGCTATATGGGTATCCTTTTCGAGGTATTTGGGGATGCTCATTACGAATATGGCACTCATTTCTAAACCCAAGATGGCGGACACGAGTTTTGAAATAAATGCAATATGGGTATCA